GAAACCAATGATTTGTGAATTCAAAAAGCCGAAAATTTGTCATATCAACATGGCTACATCTCGGGACACTAAGATGGCTGCAGTGCCATCTGAGGTATCACGTGATGAGGAATTTCGCCAAAAATTCAAACAATGCTCATATGTATCCACGCGTAACTTTTCAACATTGGTTGAAGATTTTTTTTAACTTCTTTGAAAGTTTCTTTTAAGTTTCTTCATTTCAAGCAAGCATTTTTAAGCAAGCAAATTTCAAGCAAGATACCTACCAAGAACAAATTTTTGGTACCAGGTGTCACATCTTCTACTCAACATAATGTTTTGACTGATTCCGTATTTTCTGTAAAGTTGATAGTTAACTTCATAGGTTACACACCAGGTTTCAAAGGAGCTCTTACCATGCCCTTTATAATAAACAGATAATGCTCCCCATGTTGTCTGGTTTATAGCACGATAGATTCCCTTGTTGGGATTTTGAGCACAAGCAGCTGTGTCCAGGCTTACTGAGTCAACGTAAAGATAAAGCAAATCAAGATTAAAACCAGAACCAGACCAAGAACCACCGGCAAGACAACCTTGTCTATTCAAATTCAACATGGCGCCATTTTCTCGAAACCGAAACTGAGCTGTTAGGTGAAGACAGCTGTCGAAAGAAAGTTCCAGAATGGATAAGTTTCCCCAACTGCCGTTTGACTGAATTATACCTGTGTCATTAATACACCTCGGAACTTCATTGAAACCATCCCAAAATCTTACGAAGAAACAAGCAACACCTGCGAAAAGAGGAAAACGATGCAAAACTACAATGTACTTCTGCAAAGTAATTAAACCTAAATAAAATCCCGTTCACCCAAAACAGTGTGCCCCAAAAAGTACCCTTAACAAGAAAAAGAGTTGCTAAAGCTGCGCCATTATTTCTACTATATTACCTGTGCTTCACCATGCACGCGGCAAAGGTTAACTGGAACTCACCCTTTTTTGGGTGGTCATGTTATAAAGTCCCAAAATTTTCGGAATGGTAAATACTATTCTAGGGTGACTATTCTTTATTGAACGGTCGCCTCTATTATAAGCGGTCGCGCGGTCAGCCGGTCACCTTTTCCACGGTCCCAAATTCATCTTTTCCATGTTTTGAAACTTTATTGATCGGTCGAAAATATATACATGGCCACAAATGCAGGCTGGTAGGCGGTGAGGTGTGTGGGTTCATGCGGCTCAGTTTTCCGTTCATTATTTAGATCAGTGTCGCTCAATTCCAGAAAGACAATATGCCATATGGCGATTGTTTTTCTTTTGTCAACCAGCTACACCATTTAATTCAGATACAACCCGATTATAAACAAACACAATATAAGAAATTGATATAGTAGATAGTGATAAAAAAATGACACACTTATCGCTGCTGGGGAGGCCAACGATCAACTAAAATGCGATGTAACGGACGTGTTCATTTCACATTTGCCGATGCCTGACTTTTCCTCAAATATTTAGTAGTTAAAGATCGATAAAATTGATTATGTTTTGGAAGTGGACGAACGTGCCTTCTCCGGTAATGGATCTTTTGCATAATTGACCAACTTACGATCAACGCAACAAGAAGGAAATAAATAACCACAGCTAAAAAGAGCATACCAAAATTAGGATAATTGCCAAGTTTGGCCGCCACATGTAAAGTATTACGGAAAATATAGCCATGCAAAGTAGCCAATTTTGTATACTTTTTAACTACGGCGGAAGCACTTAACTCGCACACTTCCGGTCGGAGTAAAAAAGTTTATAAAAATTATAATTTCAGGGCCCGCAGTAATTGGCTCACGCTGTTGCGGCCACCCTACTGTCCTGTTTGTTAACTTAATTCTTGTGCTTGTCTTTTATTATAGTATTTGTATTTTTGACGGTGAAGCTATTAAATTACAAATTATAATAACTACAATGAAACAAGCAATTTGATTGGTTCGTAGGCGTGTAGTATCACGCAATCCTGCACGGAAAACCATTTAGTATTCCTTTAATACTAAATGGAAAAATTCGCATGGCTATATTTTCCGTACAGACCGCACTTTACAATATTTCCAACCAAACTTGGTAATTTTATTAAATTTATTATGCAAATTTTAATGATTCCCCACTAATTTCTCATTCGCAACGGCATATTTCTTTTTCAAATTGGCGCTAAATCACCCATGCTTGGCACCCAAATTAGCCTGCGTTTCTGGCCATGACCAAAAGAAGAAAATGGCATATAAAATCGCACCTAAAATTGCAAGTGTAAACGGGCATCAACGATCTTCCGAAGCGACTTTATTCCATCGTATTTGAGAGAGCTTTGAAACGAAAGTAAAATGTCGCCTCGCGCGTTTTACTTCGATAAAACAGGCTGCTATATATATTTATTTTGATGACAATGAATATATAATAAAGATGATATTGTACTACTTTATTAATACTAAAATTGTCCGTGATTTTTAAGTAAAGGAGATCGATATATACCACTTATTAACCGAATTTGAGGTCCGTACTAGAAAAATATCAGACCGAGGTCTTGATGATAGTACGGACCGAGCGATAGCGAAGTCCGTACATAAAAGACCGAGGTCTGATATTTTTCCAGTACGGACCGAACGTATTCGGTTAATAAGGGATTTATTATATGGCTTACAGTATTTAGTTTATTTATTTATACAATGCACTGCAGCATTCTCGCCGGCTCTTTCGCCAGCCAGTTGCCAACCAAGCACTGAAGTGGCTTCCAAATCTTTGTTTTTTAATCGTTAAATAAAATGATACAGTAATATAAACAAAAATCAAAGATGAATATAAATATAATATTCACATGTACCAAATAATGCTCTTCTTCGTCCATTCTCCGTCGATATTTTTCGTGTCAAAAATAAAAATGCAAGCTTGTTTTTGTTCAGAAATATGAGAGTTGGACCCTTACTACGGCAACGGTCAAATACTGGGGGATTCCAGACCGGCAAAGAACCAATCAGCGCACGCCATTTAGTCACAAGACCGCGTGCCATATAATAAATTAGAATATTGCAATGTGTTTGCAGACAACTATGACAATTAACATACAAAGAATAAAGAGAAATTTCCAATTGGACTATTTAACATCGATAAAGATGGGTTGTTTACATTATTTACACATTTATGCATTACCTATTTACATATGAACTAGTAGTAATTGTTTTGATGTCTGACAGAGACATTATAATGTTTTTACATAAAGTAACAAAAACTGATATAGTTGACATTTTTTGAAAAAGGGCAGAAATTAGGGAAAAAACATGTGTTTTGTATGAGAAGAGAACTTATGTTTGTAAACAGTGCTAACCAGAGAGTCTGAAAGAAAGTTGCTAACCAGTGAATGTTAATAATTGTTAAAGTTGGGATTCGGGAACAGAAGTAAGCTAAATTTAACTATATAATTGTATTATTGTATTATGTCTTTGTAATTTGTAATGCCTTGCAATTTATAGATCGAATAAAAACGTTTATACGATACCAAATCACCAACTTATCGGTTCGGTCTAAACCTGGCGAATCATAAATTTGATTTCTGCTATAAAACGGGGATTCAACGGGTTTTGACATACGGATTCATACGGATGTAAATGTTGAGCTATTCAGCATGAGTCAGACGCCATCGCCCGAACACAAGGCAGCTAAATTAGCGAGACGAAATGCGAAAGCGGCGTTAACACGGTCAGGCAGAGCTTTACAGCATAAAATTGAAAACCAACGGGGTATTGACGAAATAAAAGAAGTAGTTTCAGTCATTAAAGGTGTTTACAACAGTTTAGTAGAGAAACATGAGAAATTTACTGAACTTATCCAGGAAGACACGGAATTCGAAGTGGAAGAGCGCTGGCTCGAAGAATGCCAACAAACATTTCTATCCTTGGAATTAAGGGCTAATGAATACATGCAGAAGATATCGCAGGAAGAAGCAATTGCGGGAAACGAACAAGCTAAAGGAGATGAAGCTGCTATTACGGTTAATGACGAGACGGGCGGAAATACGGACGGAGATACAGCAGACGGTATAACTGGAGCTCAAGTGGAAACACCAAATAATAATAATGAAGAGGAAGCGAGCAATAATTCCATCGTTCAGAATGAGACTACAGCAGAAGTATGCGCGTTCAAGATCGAAAAGCCGAAAATGCCGAGGTTTAACGGAGACGTAAGGGACTATGCTATATTTAAATCTGATTTCAAGCATATTATTGGCTCCAAATATAACAATAGAGACGCAATTACTCTATTACGCACCGCGCTGAGTGGAAAGCCATTAGAAATGATTAAAGGTATTGGAATGGATTACAAAGCGGCTTGGGACTATCTGGACTCTATTTATGGGGATCCAAGGTTCGTTGCCGACACAGTCACACAAGATATCATGAAATTCAAGCCCTTACGAAACGAAGAAGATTCACGTTTTTGTGAGCTAGTCCATCTGATAAGGCGAAGTTACAACACGTTGACAGAAGTGGGACGGCCACACGATATGGACAATAACCATATATTGGCCATAATCGAGCAGAAGATGTATAACGATGATAGAAAGGTGTGGGCACGTTATTTGGAGAGAGAGAAGATCGAGCCGAAATTAGCCGACCTAATTGAATGGATGTCGGGAGAAATGAAATCGAGAATGCGGGCAACGGCGCCATTAAGAAATACAAATAAGTTTGGAGTGCATCATTTCTTTGGAGATGAATCGAGTAAAGGAAAGTCTTACAAGTGTTGGATATGCAAATCGTGGGATCATTGGGTGGATCAATGCCATAAGTTCACGACCATGACCCCAAACGAGCGCCTGATCAAAGCTTATCAAAGATAATCACGCCTGCTATAGTTGCCTTAAGAAAGCGGGAAGAGACCATCGAGCCGCGAACTGTAGTCGAAAACGCCCATGCACAGAAATGGTCAACAATGAACCCTGCAACAAGAATCACCACCCACTCTTGCATTCCGGATCGAATCTCATTGGTATGCTCGCGTCAGCTGTAAAGACGAAAGATGCGTTGCTTCCTGTTGTTTCCGCGCTGGTCGTTGGTAGAAATGGAAAACGTGAGAAAGCCAATGTTCTCATGGACTCTGGAGCGCAGATAAGCCTGGTAAGAAACGACATGGCACAACGATTGAAGCTCTTAGGAAAGGAAGTAACTGTCACAATGGTAACGGTTGGAGGACAGCAGGAAGAAATGGCTACTAAACTGTATAACGTTCCGATCAGATCTGTTGAAAATAACAGTGTGTTTTCTGTCAGTGCCATCGGGATCCCATGTATAAGCGATGACATTAGCAAAGTCGAAGTTGAGGAATTAGCTAAGCATCTGGGTTTGGATAAAAATGTGTTATCTCGTGGGAGCGGCAAGCTTGACGTGTTGATTGGGATTGACCACGCAACAATGCATACAGGAGAAATAAGACAAGTTGGGAATATCGTTGCTCGCCATTCGCCCCTTGGTTGGTTGATCTTTGGAGCAGCTCAGAGGTGCCCCGCACCAGTGAACAAAGTGTTAAACGTTGGAGTATTCAAGCCGATCGAGATGAATGAATTTTGGTCCACGGAGTCAATGGGTGTGGAGATCAAGCCGTGTCTGTGTGATGGTGAGAAGATGAGTCGAGTAGAGCGAGAGGAAGCCAAAATAATCGAAGAATCTTGCAAGAAATCTGGCAACCGTTGGATTGTACCATATCAGTGGAAACATGACCCGGCGATGTTACCAAACAACAAGCAACAAGCAGTTAAACGTCTGGAAGCAACAGAGCGACAGTTACGCAAGAAACCGGAATATGCCAAAGCTTATAACCACCAGATGCAAGAGATGGAAGAGTTGGGATTTTCGAGAAGAATTACGCAAGAAGAAGAACAGCAATACTATGGCCCAGTTCACTACATCAATCATCACGCTATTATAAGACCCGAGAAGAGGAGCACACCGTTGCGAATCGTGTACAATTCGTCGTCAAGTTACCAAGGGCATCGGTTGAATGATTACTGGCTAAAAGGCCCAGACCTGTTGAACAATCTGTTCGGGGTGATTCTCCGCTTCCGTGAGGAGCCGGTGGCTATACACGGGGACATTTCGAAAATGTATCATCGTGTGCTCATTCCAGAAGTTGACCAACATGTCCATCGTTTCTTATGGAGGAACATGGAAGAGCGCGAGCCAAATACGTATGTTAAAACCGTACTAACATTCGGAGATAAACCTGCGCCAGCAATGGCGCAAATCGCATTGAGAAAAACCGCCGATGAGAATCGCGATTCCTATCCAGAAGCAGCCGAGTCATTGAAGAAAAATTCCTACATGGATGATATTTGTGACTCGGTAAAGTCAGTGGAGGAAGCAAAGAAGCTAACAACCGATCTTGACAGAGTTCTGGAGACAGGAGGATTTCACGTGAAAGGCTGGATCTCAAATGAGAACCTCAAGGAAGGAATCAGCTTGGTAAAGGATGACGGTTTGAAGCTTCTACAAGGCGAAGGCCCGGAAAAGATTCTCGGTGTAGGATGGGACGGTAAAACGGACAGTTTAACGTTCAAGATTGGCGCTGACATAACGGAAATGTCACCTACATATGGAGCCAAGCTGACTAAGAGATCGATACTTAGTTATGTCGCCAGAATATATGACCCCATAGGTATCGCCGCCGCCTTCATAATAAGAGCGAAAATCGGAATGCAACGTTTATGGCAACTGGGACTCGGTTGGGATGACGAACTACTTTCGAACGTCTGCACAGAATGGCTACAAATCTTTGCTTAATTTGGAAAGTTAAATGAAGTCACCTTTCCTCGAAGCCTGACGCCAAGAGAAGTATGTGGAACAGCTATATTATGCCTGTTTTCGGATGCCTCAAGAGAAGCGTTCGGAACGTGTGCGTATGTTCGGTGGGCGATCAATGAAAGGGAATTTGAAGTACGTTTTGTTGCAGCCAAGTCTAGGGTGGCACCCCTCAAAGAGTTATCCATACCAAGATTAGAATTACAAGCGGCAGTACTCGCATCAAGATTAAAAAAGTCAATAGAATCAGAAACGCGAATGAAGTTCGAGAAAATAATATTGTTTACGGACAGTCAGATTGTCTTTGCATGGATCAGAAGCCAGTCCCGGACATTCAAACCATTCGTTTCTGTAAGAATCGGAGAGATTCAAAGTAACAGTGACCCATCACAATGGCGTCACATTCCGAGCGAAGATAACGTGGCGGATGACGTCTCACGCGGAGTACAAGTCGAGCAGTTAGCTGGACGCTGGCAACACGGCCCAAAATTTCTATACCTGCCTGAAAGTGAATGGCCACAAGATGCAACTAATAATGAAAAGGAGACCAAAGATGTCGAGAAGATAACGTCATTAGAAAGCCGGAAACAAGTGGTGGTGAATGTGGCAACCTTATCCGTTGGAAAAATCATTGATGTTAAGAAGTTTTCAGAGTGGAGGAGACTACTGAGAGTGACCGTATATGTTTTGAGGTTTGTAAAGAAATTGAAAGCTAGAATGAAAGTAAGCGAAGGCGAGGAACGTTGCTCTGAAACAAACAGTGATGTTATTTTGCCTGATGAGCTGGATGCCGCGGAGATATACTGGATACGGGAGGCACAACAAGAGATACACAAGAAGTACAAAAGAGGCGATTATTCAAATCTAAGTCCGTTTATTGACAAAGACGGTGTTATCAGAGTTGGAGGTCGTGTCGATAAAGCCATAATATCGTACGAGATGAAACACCCGGTATTGTTACCTCACAAACATTGGATATCGCTTTTGATTACCAGATATAAGCATAAGCACGGTCATTCAGGAGTTGCAGCTACCGCAGCGAAGACGAGAGTAAAATATTGGATTCAGAGAGTTCATGACCTGGCCAAATTGGTGAAGATGAAATGTGTTACATGTCGAGAGTTCGAAAGGAAGACAGAAAATCAACTGATGGCTGATTTACCGCTGGAGCGTTTAATGCCTTTTACACCCGCGTTTTACGTAACTTCCTGTGACTACTTCGGTCCATACTTTGTTAAAGTTGGGAGGAACAAATATGCAAAGCACTATGGAGTGTTATTTACGTGTTTAAATACTCGGGCAGTACACTTAGAACTTGCGGTCGACTGTTCTGCCATGGAATTCATCCAAGTACTAAGAAGATTCTTTGCCATCAGGGGACAACCAACCAAACTGATAAGCGACAACGGGACCCAGTTAACGGGAGCTGAGAGAGAGCTTCGCGAAATGATTAAAGGTTGGGACGTGAAAACGTTACAAGAATACTGCGCGGAAAAAGGCATAGAATGGAGGTTCACAACACCGGCGGCACCACACCATAACGGGTGTGCGGAAGCATTAGTTAAAAGCTGTAAATCAGCATTAAAGAAGGCTATTGGTGATCAAAAACTAACGCCATTTGAACTTTACACCGTTCTTCAAGAAGTATCAAACTTGGTCAATCAAAGGCCAATTGGTCGGATGCCGAACGATCCAGACGATGGATCATATATCTGTCCGAACGACATGCTCTTGGGAAGAGCGTCGAGCCGTATCTCCCAAGGTCCATTTAAGGAAACTAAAAACCCTAGACATCGTGTGGAATTTGCTCAAAAGATAGCAGATTCCTTCTGGAGGAGATGGACGAGAGACACGTTTCCAGCATTAGTACCTAGAAGGAAATGGGACTCACAGAAGAGAAATGTACGAGTTGACGATATTGTGAATGTTGCGGATCCGAACTCGATCAGAGGGAAATGGTCTATTGGCAGAATTGTACAAGTATACCCTGGGAGTGATGGAAAAGTAAGAAACGTTAAAGTAAAAACCGCAACAGGAGAATACCGACGGCCAATAACCAAATTAGTGGTTATATATCCCGCTGAAGGATATGACAATTAAGGATGATAGGATCATCGGGGGGGAGGATGTTTTGATGTCTGACAGAGACATTATAATGTTTTTACATAAAGTAACAAAAACTGATATAGTTGACATTTTTTGAAAAAGGGCAGAAATTAGGGAAAAAACATGTGTTTTGTATGAGAAGAGAACTTATGTTTGTAAACAGTGCTAACCAGAGAGTCTGAAAGAAAGTTGCTAACCAGTGAATGTTAATAATTGTTAAAGTTGGGATTCGGGAACAGAAGTAAGCTAAATTTAACTATATAATTGTATTATTGTATTATGTCTTTGTAATTTGTAATGTCTTGCAATTTATAGATCGAATAAAAACGTTTATACGATACCAAATCACCAACTTATCGGTTCGGTCTAAACCTGGCGAATCAGTAATCACAGATTAGTGTTGTGCGTTTGGAATATGTTGATTTCGGTTACCGATCATTCGGTTACCGAACAAAAATATTAACATTATAACGTCACAGCGTATGTGATTAAAAGGTTATACCTGCAAAATGAGTAATTTAACAACAGTGATGGCTCCTATGCTTTAATTAAAACAAAATGGCAAAATAGAGCGAGCACATGGTCTCCAGTTACTATGACGACACATCAAAATGAGGCAAATCTGACATCGCAAATCTCGATATGATACGGCTAGGAAGCGTTCTCCTTCGTCGAACTCAACAATATAACTTACAGTCGAAACGGACATGATAAGGGCGAGAAACTCACTTGCGTGCAAATGGGATCATATCAGTTATTACACATAGCAAACTATCTTTACGGACTAATTTAGCCAGATATTTGCATCTCTTCTAAAACATTTAAACCAGTCCGTTACAAGCACTGCATTCAAAGACTATATTCAACAACCAAAGAATGCAAATGTAATCTTTGACTACTTTCGTATTTTTAAACCAGAGTAGCGATTAATGCGATGGATTGTATTCCTGGTTGTCGTGAACGTGTCAACTTCAATTCATTTCAAACCAAGTTGAGCAACTTACCTCGCAGAGAAAGAAAAATAGCAAGCAACGTACCAATGTGAAGAGATCTTGGCAACATCTTCAATCGGAATTTGGAAAGAAAATACCTTTTAATTCCAGAGGTAAATTTTAAGAATTCGTAAATGCGAGTGAATGCGGAAGGCAAGACGAAGATACTGGGAAATGCATCGCTTTATTTCCGTGACGTTTAACCTCTTAATCCGATATACCTATGTTGTTATTTCGATATATAATATTATAAGCTCATCATTATCATCAAAAAATTACTAGACGCTGATTGGTTGCGAGGAGCAAAGTTATTGTCTTTAATTGATTGCGTTCTCTCTAATTGTATAAGCATAGATCCGATTCCTGACGTAAGACCAATATTTGACTCATTTTCCATCAACTGTTCCTGGCTTGAAATTGAAGTGTGTATAATTCCACTCAACATTAAGACCCTTTGAACCACTAGAATTTACCTGCATCGAGTGAAGTGCCGTAAATCATAATTAATTGTACTGCAGTATTATGATAGTGAAAGTAAACAAGATGCCGGGAATTTATTCGCATACAAATTAACAAAGCCAGAAAGATAAACAAAAATACTTTCAAAAGTACAAATAATGGAGACGGAAATTTTTTTGACACTGTCGTGCTATGCTTGCATCTAATTTATTTCCTAAAATCATTATATTCCAATAATTTCCAAAAACGATATACAAAGGACAAAGCTTTTCAAAAAATTATAATTTATACCCTTTTTGAAAGTCTCTACCTTAAATAAGCATACCTAGATTGGGTTTAAAATGTATTAGACAACCACTCACAAATAATGTAATTGAATTGCTTGAATACTAATTGGTTATACATGGGGAGATGGAGGTCGAAACAAAAAATTTTCCGGGACAACTGACAGAATTTGCCATATCATATCATTTTGGACAGAGGCTGAACAAATTTTAAAACACCGAAAAGTGGAGCGATTCTAGGAGTATTTTCTTAAAAATCAAGTGCTACTCCATGTGCAAAACCCAGACTCTTGCGCAACTACTAACCCTAAGGGATTGCATTACTGCGGATTCAGGTATACCGTTAAACATGAATAGTTGTCGCGGTAATTTTAACTGTTTCGCGATGACACATTTCTAGGCCGTGGCTTTAACGTATGAGGCGCCGATATGACGCGATATTCCCGTCAATATTCTCATTAACAAATATTTGTTCTGTCATAGTTATATTGATGCTATATTCTATTCTGTGCTCTATAGGTTTCTTTTTTCAATGACATATCTTTCAAATACATTCTGAGTCTTTGTGTATTAACCTTTCCATTTAATTTTATTACTTATCTGGCAATGTTTTTATATTCGCTCTCATTAAAATTCATTTACAAGCTCTAATTTTCGATCTTCGCCGTCGTATTAACTTTATAACAATAGTATACAAAACAGAAAAGCGATCAGACAGATCAGATATATCACACATCTATGTCGCAAACAAATATGGCGAACGATATTAATACACTTGTTTAGCTGCTGCAAATGCCTTGCAGGCGTTTGGTCATTTACAGCCCGGTTTTGCCAGTAATGTGTCTCCTAGTTTAACTGAGAATATAAGGCAACAAAGAATGAACAGTACGGAAAGCCAGACATCGACTATTCAACAGTCGCAGCAGAGTTCAATTCATGCAATCGCGTCTTCAAGCGTGTTTTCTAATTATCGCTGCTCGGCAAAGTCGTATTTTCCTAAGAAGCGGCAGAGGTTCCAAAAAAATAAAAGGAAGACCACGAGAAAACTTAATACTTTACAAACCCAGCAGAAATCAATGATAAAACATAAAAAAATATACATGTAAAAATAAAAGACAAATAAAAATTAATATGAGCACCACAACATGGTAGTCAACAAGGTATAACAACTATTTATGATAGTGCATTCGACTCAGGGGAGTAACAGCATTGTTGCACACCATGCTTGTGGCGCTAGCTGTCTAAACCCACTTTCAACAACTGGAAACACGGTATGAATTTCTACCCCCGCATCTCATTACATATCTCTACTTATTTATTACTTTATTTAGGTGACAGTATAAGTGATCATCACTTTCTCTCTTTTGAAGTTCGGTATACGTCGCCTGATCATTGTCGACGCGGTCGTAATTATTTGCATTACTGGTTTCTGGAACATCATAAATATCTTTCGAATTCTTTCCACCCTCGTTTGTACTTCTGGCGGAAGCGTTTTGTGAGCTGAGTCTACGATTTTGATAAACCAAATATGCAATGATTACGAACGAGGCAATCATGAGAATTATGAATACAATCATTCCGACAAGATAAACTTTAAAACCAGCGTCTTTTCCGGCTGACGTCGTGACTGAAGCTTGAACTAAAAAACAAGGCAATTTACAATTTAAAAATAAACTTGCAGGTGCATGACGACCGAGGGCCAAAGGTCTGGAGATTTCTGGAGAGATCTAGGCACCAACCATGTTGCTCATGGCCAGAAATTTCATACAGTCAGCGGTTGTGCATTAATATGCAAGCGCATGCGAAAATGACGTAATCTTGCATGCAATTTCAAGATGACTATTAAATTTGGCTGTTAAATTTAGAAAAAGTATTTTGACAGTTAGATATCACTCATATCAAGTCATATTGCATAATAAGAAATGTGTTAACCAGGGGAAGTTAGCTACCAGGCCGATCTAATTTCGACAATTTATGCAAATTTTAATTATATTATTCATTTCTTTAGAAATGGATTGTTTTTGCAGTCAATAAACACCAAAATATTACCTTTACCGGGAATAGGTTTTTAGAAAAATCCAAAGTTAGAAAATTGTCTACGAGAAAAATCGGTTTCTTTACTTTCTTTAATGACATTTTAACTATAGTAGTGTCCAGAAATAACCTAACAAAAATCTGCATGCGGTTAACCTAGGTAAAACCTCGGTTAAACCGAGGTCAGACTTGAGGTATGCAAGCGTATGCGAAAATGACACAGCTCTGCGAATTCAAGATGACTAATAAATTTGGCGAAAGAACTGAAAGTAATTTAACAGTTAGATATCACTCATATCAAGTCACACTGCATAAACAGGAAGTATATGTGTATAAAACTATAAGCTGAGACTTACATACATACATACATAAACAATTTATTTAATGACGCATTTCTCATCACCATTAAATCTATGTTCTTGCTGAGGAGGATAAAAAGGGATAAAAAATATATACAAAAAAAAAATTTGAATGGAAGTTTTCTTGGAAGGTCTCTGATAATAGGTATTGACCTAACAAGGCTTCAAAGATGCCTTTTAAAAGCACTTAAAGTAGTCGATAGCTTTGCATCTGTAGAGAGCGAATTCCATGTCACTGCTCCACTATACTTAAAAGTTTTTTTTAAGATATTCGCTCTTAGGTTTAGGGATAATCAAATCAGTTTCCCTATTTCGTAATTCATGGTTATTTTGAATATCATTCATTCAAATAAAGGACGCCCTTAGGTTGAGAGCAGTGTGGTTATTTAATACTTTAAACATTAGAATAGATTTTATGGCCGTTTTCCACTTAAACCGTATCGTAGCGAAACGTGGCTAAGTTATCTTATTGTTTTAAAGTCATTAGTTCTGGTTGAATAGTTGGAAACAAAGAAAAACGCTACGTTACGCTACGATACGGTTGAAGTGGAAAACAGGCCTTAGTCCGATTTCGGATCGAATCTTGGCGCAAATGTGCTCAATATGTACATGTTTCCCAATTTAGCTTCTCGCGGAAATAATTTACAATTTAGTGAGAGAATATCGAAGACGGATCGACAGGTAAGTCGGGTTTTTTATATATTTCTATATAAGCGCGGCCGTTGAAACTAGCGCCATGTTTCACATGATGAAACTTCTGGCCATGACCTCGCAAACTTTCCCTCGATGAATATTAAGTAATTTTCTACACCTAGGAAAATTGATGATGCAGTAAAATGCAACTTTAATTGCTAATTCATGATGCAGCAAATTTATTTTTGAAAAAAACTGGGTTCATATTTTAAGCGATAATCAGTGGAAATGACTGGTCATAAATACGAGCAAAAAATTTGAATGTTTAAATTTTATTTTGAACTGTTCGGTGGAAAACTTGATAGGCTATGTTTGGTACCGCTGCTCTAAATCTAAAGGAACAAATTATATACTTTCGTTTAAGGTTAGTGAGGATTGCAAAATGAACATAGCCAATGTAGTATATACCTGAATGATTTATCGTTTGTGAAACAGGACTCCAGTCGGACGAGTAATAATCACCCTGCAAGAAGAAAGCACTGAGCTTATTTTATGGACTTGTTAAAAAGCCTGAGCGTACAGATTTTAGATGCTGTAGGTTAACGCTGTCCAAACTCGTTTCTCAACTTACATCTGTATATAATTATATTATTCATCCTGAAAATTCTCTTTGAAACTTGCAGTATAAGAATTAACTTTAGCCGAAATTATAAACTGGAAATAATGTGTTGAATATTTTGTAGTTCAACTTATATTTATAACGAACTTTTCGACAAACTCTCTAGAGCAATGGACATTTCAGTTCTTCCGGTGGAATTCTACACCGGCCCATGAATTTCAGTGTCAAAAATAGAAATGTTAACTACCTTCTTAAAAATATGTCTCGGCAAGACAGTCTCATGCACGCGCCTTGAACTCCAAATACGTCAAACAATACACAGATACCTTATCATTGATGATAATCCTTTGAAAAATACTGTAACGAGTGCCTGGCTCTAGCGGACCATTAAAATACTCTTTTGAATCACTTGTATTTCTGCCATCACCAAGTACAAACATGTTTCCTTGAAAATCGCTGGACGAGAATACTGCGGCGATATACGGTTGTGGATTGGTTGAATTTATAGCATCGGCAAACATCACCAATTCATCGTTCTCGTAGCGGTCAGATGATAAAGGCTTCTCGTCGTCTTTCAGTCTCCAAGCCACAACGTAGAAACGCCTAAAATGCGAATGTAAGACGATCGAACGGCGACGGGAACTATTTAAGTGGAGTATCTGGATCCGGGTGTTTTTCTCCACTCCCCTCTCTCGCCGGCGACGCTCATTTGATTAAACTATACTTACTTAAACGTTATTGTAGGAATTTCAAAGGAAAAGTTAAGCGTACTTGGTGTTCCTCCAATTGCTTTCTTCACTGCTCCTGTGATAACACGTTGACATGTCTGTTAGTTTAGATAGCAACGATGCGTAGATCGTTTGGCCCCCTTTTTTCTGATCTTTATGGAAGGACTCTCCGCGGAAACGGGAAACGACAGAATAAGGCCGTGGCTTGACCGTTTAATTGGTGTGGCGTGTATATTCATATATTCTTTTATGCTGGCTTATATAGCCTGGGAACAATAGCGTACAAAAGAAATCAGTCGGGCATTAGAGAAATATATGAATATACACCGTCCACCCTCCCCCTCCCCCTCCCAATTAAGCTACGCCAGTACCTGAGAAATAACTTTCCAAAATATTTTCAATAGAACTTTTTGAACCGAAATTGAGAAATAACCAACCGCGAGACTGAATCGCATTTCTTATTGAGTGGGAATCTTCGTGCGTTTAATGTTCAGCTCACTTTGTGATTTATGTATATTTCAAAAGTTGGCTTAAGATTTAAACACTGTTTTTGATAACACTTACGTACGGCAAAAATATTTTTTCGGGGGAAAAACAAGCAACGCTCGAGACTATAATAAAATAATAAACATAATTGCTGGAAGTGCGTCCGGGAGTACAAAATGGTTGTTACGTGAACAATCATAAACTATCTCGACTCTTGGAAAAACAAAACAAATATTTCCCTCGGGAGCATACATTAAGCGTATAGTATATGATCGTTCACGTAACAACCATTTCAGTTGTAAGACTCGAGGGAAAGCAAGGCTCACTATTTTCCCAGGTAGTGTACAATAAGTGCTTTGTTATATAGGAACAAAAAAACACACATGTTACACAACAACCAGGAAGCAGCGTGGGCCTGCGTGGCAGCGTCTTCACTGTCTTCAAACAACTTAGCATCAAATGTGCTATAACAACATGGTCAGATCGAAACGTCGAGAAGTGTTTTGTCTATTTTAGGCAGTTGTTATACCACATTTGATGCTATGTCACACAACAATTTCATTAAAAAAAACACTTTGTTATAACAATATGCGCGCAACAATTTTTCACTTGCTTCCCTGGCGGGAAAGATTGCATTTATTTAAAATCATGTGACTACGAATGGACCAATCACATTTAAAATAAACAGCATCTATATAACAATAATGACTGAATCGAATAACTTCTACTTACGTCCATTCGTTAAAATTCCTTCACTGTAGCTGCAGTTACCGCTTCCAGCTTTATTACTGGCCAGAACACAAACATAATATTTTGTTGCTGCTTTCAGGTTGAATAAAAGCCACTCTCTTTCACCTGTGATGAATGTTTGAAAGCAAGAACCATTTTCTGAATGTGAAAGGCACGCAGTATAACTGGTAATGACGCCATTTTGTTTACTTTTCTCCGGAGGATCCCAGACAAGAAGCAACGATGATGCACTTCTTGATGTTACTTTAATGTTCATTGGAGGACCATTTGGGGCTAAATGTTCAAAGGAACGAATTTCCTTATTAGGGCAGCATGGGGTGTTTATTCATATACTCAGTTCTTCATGTTGAATTTTTTTTGTATGTGCAATAAGGGTGGTTATAGGGACGGCTTCAAACAGAAAATATTTCATGCGCGGAACACGACAACAGTACCAGGCTACCAGACCCTTCGATTACTAAGACAAAGCGTTTACACTCTAATGAGAACAGTAACAATTTAATTGTCCTTTTGCAAAACATTATGAAACGTACACAGGAACATTATTTTATTCATCATGGCTTGAATTTGACTTAATTTTAATCTAAAGTCATATACTCTATTTAATATCTATACAATACAGTACATAAAGCTTATATATATCATCCGATACATACCTTCTTCGGATGTTAAGAACAGAATTATTGCCTTTCTCCCGTATCCATAGTGATTACCAGCAGAAACCGATATTTCATACGTAGTGAACGGAATAAGATTGTCTATTTCATATTTATGAACAGATTTATCGGTGGTGATGTTTAGAATATGCAAGTAATCTTTCCTGAGAATAATGAAAAATCGAGAAACATGTCGCACCCAAGAACCTCCGTCATTAGGATTGTCAGGATCTAGCCAAGATACTTGAACACTTCGGGACGTGATGTTATTAACTGTGAAATTTCTAGGTTTGTATGGCAACGCGGCTTGGAAGAAAAGTAAGAGATAAATTTTTATATTGTTATTATTAAAAATCTATATTCTCTGGCAGCAGGAATTAACTCATATGCCGCTCTCCATTATACGATAAAAACGGTCAGAATTTTGAATTTCTATACAGGCCGTTTTTATACTGGCTTTTTTAGAGTGTTTAAAGAACACTGCATGATTCAAGTATATCGTTATTTGCATCTGCTTAGCACGGGAAATAGAGTTTCACCGCTTTATTTTTAACGAAATACTCTATCTCAATTCAAAATAATATCGTGACTTACCGAATCCACTAGTCTCAACTCTCATACATGGCTGACCAACATATGTTACAGGGATAAATCGCAAAGCTCTCGTTTTAATGTAAAAAAACCACCTATATCCTCTAGCTGCATGATCGTAAGCATTTTTATTTCCTTGAAAAATCTACAGTAAAAAATAAAGAAGTAAGAACATTTTATTGTAAGCGACAGCATTAGTCACATTACCACTCACCCCGTCCCTGTATTGGCTCCAGCTAACCAAATCAGAAGTATGATTTAAGTTGTATGTGGCGACCCATTTTGGACTAGTGCTGTCACCATACGTTATCAAATGAAATAACCAATACAGCGTTCCCAAGTCCACCTGAAGATAATGTTTATCATTCGCGACAGGAGCACACCAGGAACTTTCGCTAGATATCCTTGCATCGGAAGGACTGTGACCTTTTGTAGAGGCAGGGGCAGAAAATGATGAATCAGGAAAATTTACTCTATCAGCAGCTAACAACGGTCTGAACTGATATCCTGAAGGGCGAAAAATTTTGATTAAACAAAATTTAATATGCAATTCTACCTATTGTAAGTTTTTTTGCAACTCTATGGGTATTTCAAATCACGTGTGTTATTCTTCCTACATTGGCGACTTTTCTGTTTAATTCTCCCTTCATTTATCCCTGTATTCATTCTATTAAAGCGTTCCTATCTCTTACCGTGAAAAGCACATTCAATGTATGATAAAGCAGAACAAACTTCCGTGGAGGCAATTGTTGAACACTGGGATAAATATTTGTAATCATAAGAACAGGTTAAATTTCCCGAAAAAACAGCATCTCTAGCCCCCTTTGGAACAGACACATTAACCAGTAATTTTGGATAGTCATAACCAAGGTAACGACATAAGATTGTGACGTCTGGGTCCTTTTTTAAACTTTTCCAACAAACATTCATTGTCCCACTATCTGTGCTAATTCTGACAACACCGTTGAAAGGTAGAGATGAATGTGTCAAGGACACATCGTGAACTACAAAGAAAAAGACCGATATCGATAGAAAAATTATCGAATGCAATTGTTAAAGATCATTGCATTCGGAAATAAATAATTGGTCTCGTTTTCCATACAAAAGTAAGATTATTTGTGTAGGTACACAAATGTACATTGGCGTCAATCGAACGTTAATTGAGGGGGATCGTATTCACTTTCAATAGAAATTAGCCTGGCATAACAGATTATGTGAATTTGGTCCCCCTCAATTAACGTTCGATTGACGCCCATGCAAATGTATACTAGAGTCTTTCTCATTATGTCCCGTCTTTCCCTAAGAAGTCATGTAGGGGAAATTTGAATTATAGGGGAAATAATATTTCTTAAACGTTAGTCGTAAATACTTACTGCAAAGTTCTTTAAACGGTTTCACGTTAAAATGACATTGATATTCAAAATAAAGATATGTTTTCAATCCTGGACACCTGTCACTCGGAAACAAGGTGTCATCCACAAGCATACTACATTCATGAAGACCATCACATTTCTTTTTTACAAGACATGTTACATCAAGTTCACAAATATAATCAGTTAAACTCAAACCACAAGTCTTTGTTACGAGTAATCCACGGAAAGAGGCAATCTTGACCACCATGTATTGATTTTTAGGACAGTTTGCATTCTTCACCATGTCACCATAACACGTCACGGAACCTTCATTAAGATATACATGTATTTTTTTCTGTTTCAAAGAATATTTATTTTATTTAAGACAACTTTTCCTGTCATGCATAAATCCAGGAAAACACATGTCAGAATCAATTCTTCTTTGTGAATGAATATATGTAAGTAAAGTAACTACTTTTTTCACAAAAAAATGCTAATAAAAAAGTTTATAAAAAATAATAGAATTCGATACTCTATAGGTTCTATGTAACGAACCCATTTTGTTAAACGGCAGCGAAAATTTCAATGGTATTGATGATAAGAATATAAATAGTGTTCATCGACACATTAGAGAAAATTTCACTCCTATGTGATATCGCGTTATTGTAGACTTTCGGGACGATAAACTGAATAATAATTATATCATTAATACTTATTTAATGCGACCGAAGGAAGCACAATGTTTTCTGAGGTCTCGGAAAATAAGTTTTTTATTATATACCACTTGTCAAAGAAAAAATAAACCCAAGGTAAACAGCGAAATATCTATTCATAAAAAACATGATTTAATTTCAAAAGAGAGGAACGGTCTAAAGGTCGTATGTTCAGGTGTGCCGCACGTGATTAAAGTTGTTATTACCCATGGGGGGTTCGCTCTCGACCAATGAAACGCCACTAATGAAACACCAAATTTGACAAGTGGTATAAAATAACATCATTTAAATTGTAAGCAAATTAGCTTTGTAGTATTAAATAATTAAACACTTACGTGGTGTGCCTACAAGCTAATTTACTTATATTTTAATATCACCACGCAAAATTGCAAGAATATTATCGTTTAAATTCTTATCATCAACATACCAGAGAAACGTGAATGGTTAGTAAATACGATCAAACAGACGTGATTTTGCTTTGAAAACAAGGAAATAACAATTGGGGACGACTCTTTTTGAATTATCCATATTTTCTCATTTCAAGCAAGCGTTTTCTACTAAATAAAAACTGAACGCATGGAACATATATGATGTGTCTATCAGTGACCTACCGAAAATAAATCTTTGGTACCAGGTGTCACATCTTGTACT